AATAGAATTGCAATAATATATATAATTCAAATATATATATATATATTATATAAAATTTTATATTATATAAAATTTGCTTTTAATTAATAATATTATATTTTATTACGGTAATTATATATATTTATTTTTTATTTATCTACTCTATTCTTTTTCTTACTTTTAATGAATAAATAATAGTGAATAAATATATATTGACTTTTTAAGTTTACAAAAACTTCTTATATTTTCACACGAAAAAAGATTCAATAGAATAATAGGTTATGTAAACGATACCTCAGTTTTAGCATCAGGGCTATAATACACAAGAACCAAAGTAGTTGCAATGTTGACGATTAGACCTACGATAGTGATTAAATTGGGTGCAAGCCAAAGTGGTACTTTGCTAACAAGCCAGTCCCACCAGGGTTGAAGAAATCCATCCAAAAGACTGCTTGTTGTACAGCTATATTTGTGTTCACTAAGACGTTTCAATTGCCCAGGCGATAGAAGTTTTTCCTTATAAAACTGCATAATTCGACGTAGCCGAATTACTAAAAATACTAAGAATGATTATAATAATTCAACAATCATTGATTCTACACAATACAATGGCTAAACATAACAAGTAACTATTCGCGAACATATACGACATCTCTTTACATACTGATTTGAACCGGAACTACAAGTGAAGTCTACAAAATACTACGATTCTTCCGTATATATAAATTGTTTTTAGATCATATATTGATTATTACATTAATAATATATATTACATTAAAAAATAATATTATTAGAAAAAAATCATAAATAAAAATATTTATATAATATTAAATAACAATAATTTTTTAATATATTTTATTTTCGAATATGAATATATTGAAACTCATTATTTAAAAATTTCGCGCGAACCTTTGCAATTCCTTTATATTTTCTTATTAAAAAAAATCATTTTTATTTTTTTTTAATATATTATTTCCTCGTGTCATAAAATATATCTATAATTATAAACATCGATCTTCTAAATTTTTCACGTTCTTAAGTATCAAACAAAACAAATATGTAAATAGTAATAAATCATGGCGACACTCACTACTTTTACAAGATTATTTAATTTTGGTACAAATACTTGTATCAAAAAAATTCTTCCGACTTTAATGTATAAAAAATACTATCCAGGTTTATTAATATTTTACATAAAAATAAGATTTATTTATTTATTTACATCAAATTTTAAGTTATAACCTCACTTTTATTTCATAAAATTTAAAAAAAATTGTTAATAGTTAATTATTTTTAAATAAATTATATCATAAATAATTCTTTAACTATTTTTTTTTTTAATTATTTGTTTTTATCGTAAAGTATGATTACTTTTAATTTATTTTATTACTGTAAAACTTATTTATTATTATTATAATTATTAATAATTAATTATTAATTAAATTATTATATTAATATAATATAAAAATTAAATATTTTTAAAAATAAATAAAAATAAATAAATATAAAATAGATAAATAAAAAATTATTTATTATAGTATCAAAATTATGGGAAATAAGAATAGATGGATATCGTACTCGATATAAGTTACCTTGGTTTAATTCATCATCAAATTATCAAGAAGAAATACCTGAATATGATGAAAAAAAAGAAAAAATAGCAATTGGTAATTATATGCAATAAATATATATTATAATAATATTTTTCATTAATTATTATTTATTCTTATTATTATTATATTATTATTATTATTATATTATTTATTATTTATTCTTATATTATCCATGTAATTTTAATATTTTCTTTCTATTTTTAGATGTAATTAATGAAATTAACAAACAAGTAGCTACTAAATCGACTGGTCGCTTATTTGCAATCATACATGTACTAGGAAAACAATTTAAAGTCACAGAAAGTGATATTATAGTCATTGAAGGTAATTGGCCACCTCAACCAGGAGATGAAATAAAATTGGAAAAAGTATTATTAGTTGGCAGTAAAGATTTTACTCTTATTGGAAGACCTATTCTAAACAGAGAATTGATATCAGTCGATGCAATTGTAATACAAAAAACTTTATCTCATACAATAACAAATTTCAAAATGAAAAAAAGGAAACAATATAAAAGATTAAATTGTAAGATTATATTATATATTATATATTATATATTATTTTATAATATAACAAAAATATTTTACAATTATTTCATCTAATATATTTATCTATTTTACAGTTTATAGAATACATAGAACAATGCTAAGAATAACTTCTATAAATATAAATGGAGATATTGATAAAAAGAAAGAAGTTGAAGGTTTAGATAGAATATATTAATTAATAAATAATATAATATATCTCATAATATAATGTAAAATGTCACATCCAAATATATTTTTTAATCATTAGTAATAAAAATTTATTATTGTATATTTAAATTAATATAAAATATAATGGAAGTAAAAAGAGTATAGATAATATGATATATATAAAAAACATATTAAACAAAATGCTATTAAATACATTGTATTAAAACAATAAAATTTTAAAATAAAAAAGAATAAAATCCCAAGAAGAAATAAAGCATCAGAAAGATATAAAAAGTGTTTGAATGTATAATTTCATGATGTTTCGCGCATGCGTAGTATTATTAAGAGAAAAGTGGGGATTATAAGTGAGCGAATGAGCGTTAGGGAAAAACAGTATGTTAAAATGAGTCGAATAGAAAGGGTCGTTTGTGAATAAAAGAAAGAAATAATAATACAAAACACAAATAAGAGAGATAGAATATTCGAATGACGTCATAAGCTGCAGTTTCAAGGAGGTTTAAACGAGAATACCAGTCTATTCTTTACACTTGCAATTCGCGATAAAAACTAATGATAGTTTATATTCATATCTCAATCTCATGATAATTTGCTTATAAATTGCTGCATAGAATGAATCAATGTTTTTCTCTTCATAATATGCGAGAACGGTATTAAGTAATTCATAATAATATAAAAAGAAACTCTCCCTTATCCGTGTATTAGCGTCCAACGAATGTAAACGATTTCCATCGAGCTAAGAATTTGTGTTTTCTATTAAGCTATCAAAATAACCTAAGAGTGTTGTGTATTATATATAATTGAAGAAGATGGTGCTTTCAGAATGTTATGGATTTGTTAAATACTCATTAGTCTGCATAAATCTTATATTTTGGGTAAGTGTTAACAATTATATTTCAGAAATTTTAATAACTATAGCAAAACAATTATTTATGATTAATTGATATATTTTTTCTTTATGCTATATATTAATAAATTCACAAAATCATTCAATATATGAAATTTTTATATTTAATTTGATTTTTAAAATTTAATTAGCTTAATAAAAAAATAAGATCAATAAATAAATATTACAATTACAATACTAATATATATAATATTTATTAATGTTATATTTATAATGATTTGATCAAAATTATTACATATCGTTTAATAATAAAGACTAATTCAAAATAATATAATTTATAAACATTGATCGTTAAATAAATATACAATATAATAATGTGACTATTACTTGATTCATTAAAAAATTTTTATATGTTTATTTTTATAATTTTTTTTTTAATAAAAAGAGAAAAATTTGAATAAAACTTAAAATTTAATATGATAATATATAAATAATATAATAATACATTAAATATTATATATAAATATTATAAAAAATTATGGATAATTTAAATAATTTTTCATTTAATTAGTAATATTTAATTATAATATTTAATATAAAACAAAATAAAAATTTCATTTTGCAAAAATGAAAATAAAAATGCAAGAAAAAAAGATAAAGAACTAAAAAATTTCTATGCCAATGATTCTATTCAATTTACCCTTTATAGCTCTTAACCCGGTGACCTGCAATTTATTTCAAATCGCGAACTTATTTCAAAGATAATAAGAGCAAAATGACTGAGTTTGTACCATAATCGATTGAATTAAAATAATATTATCTAAAAATTATGTTATTATAATAAGGCAATTCATTTACGCAATTTTCTTTATAAAGAAAAATTATTAAAATTATCAATTTAAACAAATTACATAATATTTTTTTTATTTTATATAATATAACAATTTTATTGTAAATTTACTTTTAACAATACAAACAACAACAAGACAAAATTTTTTTTATATATTTTTATATTGTTTTTATATATAAGATGTCTTGAGATAAGATCTTTTACATATTTATTATATACAAAGAATCGGATGTTTTTTTATATAATAAATAATTTTATAAATTTATAAATTTTTTTATATATTCATAAAAATAAGATGAGATATCTTTTGCATATAATATTTAAATATCGATAAAAAATTTAAAATATAAATTGCAATAAATTTTTTTATTTTAAAATGGGATAATAGAATAATAAATTTTAAAAATTTTTTCTTAGTTTGTTATTTTGCTATTTTACTAATCTAATAATAATATAATTCTCACAATATTGTATCAACTAAATAGGACAACTAAATGCATAGGATTCTTTTTAAGATTCTTTTCCTCACAAAAATATAATTTTTAGAATTCATATTCTAGAAAAATAAATTGTTTAAAGTTTATAATGTTTTATAGTCACTTTCTTTTTTTTTATACAATATATTAATCGAAAATTAATTAGCATATTAGAAAATCTCAATAATAATAAATTTTAATAATTAATGATTATTTTTTCATTAAATCTATAACATTTCGAATGATAATCAATAGCTGTAAAATGTTTTTTTGTAATTAAAGTAATAAATTTTTAAACTATCAAAATTTCTTTAATAAATGCTGCAGTTTTTCTGCGTAGAATATGAGCTAATTTAAGAAAACAGCTAAATTGATTTCATCTGTATATCACATTGATTATTTTTTGTTCTAAATTTCATTGATTCATAATCAAAATCGATTTTGGTTTTATTTAACGAAAAGTCAATTAAATTGTAAAATGATTATATAAAGTCAATAAAAATATTTACTTATTGATATCATTTCAATTGTCATAAATATTGAAAATTTGATCTTATCAAAGAAGAAAATCTGCTAACGCATATGAATCATGTTTAATTTATAACATTCTATTCACATTAAAATTTTAACACATTTTAAAAATGTGTTATGAAAATTAGGAATGAGAAAAAATAATTCAGATTTGTTTAAGTTATTAAATTGCAATATTGTCATGAATATCGATCGAAACCAGCTAAACTATCATATATCAAACATTTGTCAGATATTAACAATAGTGCTTATGTCAGCATCGAGACAAACATCGCATCTAGTTTGAAAATGTTCAACGAAAAATAAGTGCGTTTAAATATAGATTTCCAGTCAGAGAACGAATATGTTCTTCCTACGAGTTTGCATCCTACACTATAGCCCAGTTTATTCCCATCCCTTGTGATTATACATTATATTAATACACACACTCTTTTTTATTCATGATGAGTTGCATTTCGCATCTTGAAATCGATTGAAAATCAAACATGACAGAAAAATTATTTCACAAAAATAATATATGCATTTTTAAAGAAATATATATAAATATTATTTAAATCATGACGGTTATTTAAAACATTATATCTCATTCAACCAACAATGTTGAACTTGGCATAGTTGGCATCGAATAAAGGTGCCAAATACTTTTGAAAAAAAGATATGATATTTGTAACTATATTATTTATTTTTACATATGTTTCAACTCTGAATTTTTGAAAATTCAGTTTAATAAATTTAAAAAATAATATTTAATTAATTTACTATTATTTTCAATTGATTTTTTATATTAAATATTTGCAAAAAAAATTAATAGATGTTTTATATAAAAAAATCGATGATAAAAATTCGATTATTTATTTTTGTCATTAAGAAATGAAATCATAGAGCCGAAAGGAAGTTTGACATCAATTTAACGTGTGTATTTAGATAATTTCGTGATACTAAATCTGTATAGTATAATGAGAAATGTTTATACAAGTGTTAACAAATTTAATTTTCTATAGACTCGTTAATTTTCTATCTAGTTTTCTATATAAGTTTAGATATTATTTTATCGATAATATGTATCTTTTGCAAATTGATTAATTTGTTATATAATTTGCTATATAATTTTATCTTTTAATTCGATATTATTAAATATATCAAAAAGAAAAGAATATAAAATATTAAAATACGAATTAAATAGGAATGTAGATGTTAACAGAATTAAATAATTATTTGTGCAATATAAAAATTTATTATATATATTTTATATTTTTTAAAATTTTATTATTATATAAATTATTAATTTTATTAATTTTATAAATTTTATATAAATATTTTTTTAAATATATATATTATTCAATTATGTTATGATAATCAAATATAATTATTTTTAAATATATAATGTAAATTCGTTTGAAAAAAAAATATCAAATCATTTTAAATAATTTTAGTTATGTTTAATTCATCGATCCGAATATGAATTTATAATATAATATTTACTATATATTTTTATTCTTCTAATATTTACTATATTATTGTTCTTTTTTTTTTATAAAATATTGCAAATTATAAATAACTGTCATCTTTTCATATTTATTATTATAATCATTTTAATCATATATAAACAAATATATTTTGAAATGATTGGCATATGTTTTAAAATATGAAAATTGCAAAAAATTTACAAAAATATTTTTAATAGATTTAATTTTTCATTAATAAAGTTAATATTTAAAAAAAAAATACAGTATATAGCACCGAATAATAAAATTCATAAATGAAATAAATAAAAAGAAATGTATTCGTTTCATAAAAAAGTAATTTTAAAAAAAATTAGACATTGAACATAAATATTTTTAATACATTTCGTTTTGATAAATTACATTTTCACTTTATTATACTTAGTAATATATTTAAAAATATTTTTCTTTGTTTAAGTAAAAGTTTTACCTATAATATTTATGAATGTACATGATGTAATATTAAATATTCGATTGCAACAACTTAATTGCATTTTGAAAATTGATTTAGAGCCTTTTTTTCAATATATATACGTTGAATATGACCCATCGGATTTGATTTCGTGGTTTCTAATAATATCGGCAAAAAATCGATTTATCTAAAGCAATCCTTTTTCCAGTTCTTGCATCTGTTTCTTATATCAACATTCACAACTCGAGACACATCGAGAATACAGGAAGTCCTCTGTTTAAACGGTACGCCTTCAGCATGATTACACATTGACTGGAAATCACGAGTGTTTAGCTGCTTTAACTTACTGAACCTTCAATCTTGATGTCTATTCTTTTTCATATACATTATATCTAAGTGTAATATGATTTATAGTCTATTCCTAATCCTAATTTCTATTTTTTATAAAAAAACCAAGTCTGAAAACTCTGTGTATGACATAATATAACCTAGTTTCGTTATGCTAATAAACATATGTTATGCAGTTTATTATGTAGGAAATATATCTAATAAATTAAATAATATATCTTTTACATTTATGTAATTTTTTTTTATATGAATGATGTAATTATTTGCTTAGTATTTAATAATATTTCAAAGCACTATAAGAAATTTTTACATGTTTTACAAAATAATTATTATTAATATAATTAAATATTATTGAACAACAATGAACAAGAGTAAAATAACAAAAATTTTTTTATTTTGAAATCTGTAAATATGTAAAAGTATAATTAGAATATTTTGAATTCAGGATAAATGTTACATGGTTCTTTTTGCAAAAAAGGGAAATAAAAAAAATTACACGTTTTAATATGGAAGCGCA